AAAGTCCACCTCGGGAAACCTCAAGAGCGCCCCTTCAACTGACTGATCGCCCGTCAAACAAATCTCCCCATCCTTCCCCCCTCACGCCAACCAGACAAAGGATAAGAATGTTCACTGTCGGATTTTCCAAATCAGCAGTCCCCAAATCCTTGCGCTTTTTATTTTTATTTTTTTTTTGAGGTGACCAAAACCACCAGTAACCACCACATTTGCTGAACCGCCTGTTCGTTGGGGCGGGGGGGGGAAAAGGAGTCTTTTTGTTCTCTTGCTCCAGTGAAGAGCAAGAACAAGTCTGCCCAACCCGCAGAAATCCATTCCCTTTGCATTGCACTTACACTAGTAACACCACACGCACTCAACCAGGAGTGTGAATTTCAGCAGTCCTTTAAGGCTACACAAAGATGGATTGTTGCACTCGTACAGATTTTGGGGGTTGGAGTCTCTAAATAAGTGTAGACATCCTTTGGTGTGTAGGCTGATCCAGACTATGCCTCCAACACTGAAGAAAGCTGCAGAAAATGGGACAACAGTGGCATCAAGCGTAGTGCTTTTGAAAGTGATCAAACTCCTCCTTTAAGTACACATGCACGTCATAAAAAAAGTCTTTGAGAAAAGTAATCTAATTGCATTCTTGTAGTTCTTGGTTTTTACGGCAGTCTTTCCATTCTTCTTCCTTCAAGTGGTGCTAACCTTACACAATTGGGACACACGTCTCAGGAAGACAAAATTCTTCAAAACTCCCCATGGTTCTCCAATAAAATGCAACTGGTTTTTTGTCCAGAAATACCGGCCTACTCAATAAATCCCACAGATCTTACTGTGGAAATATTTTCGAATGTGTTTTGCTGTTTTTATGTTTTTATGTGTCTTTGAGTATCTAGAAAAGCCCTTATAAATAAAATGTATTATTATTACATGCGTTTGCTCAATTGTTGCTTATATATTGCTATATGCTCCTTGTTAGAATGTATAACTAGCAATAGCACAACATACGATCAAATAAGAAAAGCTATAAAATAATCTGGTATAATTGTAATAATGATTATTTCAAATATACTATGTATGACAGAAAACAATTTCAACTGATTAAAGGTTATATACAGTATATGAGATTGCTACTAGATTTCACAGTAGCAGCATCTCAGACCAAAACAATGGGGAATAAACTCACCAAAACCATCTTTGTTAGTCTGTCCACTGTCTTTCAAACAATCACCAGCTCTGGTTTAGTTTAAACTAATGTTAATCCCTGGGGACAAATGTGCCCTTCAAAGTACATCAGCTGAGACTGTTAGTGTCTGAGAAGTATCTCCCTACAGAGATAAAACTTTTGTTTAACCAGAATCACATCAACAACACCGACGTAGAAGATAAAAACAGCAGCTTCAGTTGCTCTACTCTGCTGCACAAAGAGACTGCAGACTGACTATGTGAACAAAGGGGGAGGCTGTGATAGCAACACAGGCAGAGGAAGTGTGACACCATGATTCCACTGTATCTTTACATAGAGAATTTGTTTGCTGCTATATTAATGTACTAAATCTCATATATAACCTTTAAAGCTGCACCACTATTTTTTAAAATGACAATGAATCAAATGGCTATTCACACTAGAGGTGAAGGGAGTTATTTTTTTATTCACATTATACAAAATGTGTTGTGTCAGCACTCTGCATAAAAGTAGTCAAGTGTTGAAGCACACTTATCTTCCTCACAGTGGAGTCATCTGTAGTTGAGAGGTTAAATATGAAATATGAAATATTTTATCCCTTATATCTGGCTTTCTAAAACAGGTGACCACTGAATTACGACTTGTAGACCATTTGTGGAATTTACAGTACAGTGAACTCTCTGAAACAGTAATATTTTGGATTGTTATGTAGTGTTAATTGTCAGCTATTTTTATTTAGTCTTAGTCATGTATCAAAAGTATTTTATCGTTATATATAGTTTTAGTAGAAACATGGTGCTTCAACATGGCGGATTCTGTGACGACCTACTGCCTCTGTAGATAAAGCCTCATTCTAACAAAAAATGTAAAATAGCTGATGTATGTTACTCTGTGAAATAGCAGTTTTAGTTGTAGTTCTTTTACCCGCCCCTTCAATATAGGCACCTGTAATTGATTGATGTGGGTTGTATGTTTAATGACTGTTTATTGTTACACACTTTGTGTGTAAGATTATTGTATGGCATGTCTGATGAAGCCTGTGCTTCGATGCTTTGTTTGCACACCTGCACTGTGAATAAATTAGTTTATGAAGAGGACAGCAAGCCTCTCAGTGCGTGGCAACTTACTTTTGTTTTTTGTAGCAGTGTTCATTGGAGTGCAGTGAATTCATGGGGCTCTTTTGCAGCCGGAGGGTGCCAGTGTAAATGACACAACAGCAGCTAAACCGTCATTATCAGCTGTTGTCAGAGGTGCAACCATGTTAGCATTTGCATACATTAGACTAAGTCAGCAGGGCTGTTTGCTCAGAGATAATGAAACCAGCAGTGACTCTGGACACCTGTAAGTGGCAACCTAAAACAGCTCACCTATCTGACAGTTCAGCACCGTATTTCAAATGGAAATCTGGCTCTGATGTCAGCTTCAACTGGAGGCCAAATATTGCCACATTGAATATTTGGATGAGATAGAAGCAATTTTCAAATCCCTGCATGTGTGCTGTAAGTCCACTACCTCAGTATCTCTGATAGCACTGTATCTCAGATCCAGAAGTGGGTTGTGGACAAGTCCTCCAAACTAAACAACAAAATGCATTGTATGAGCAAAGTCTCTAGAATGATCAAATGGCCCTATCAACATGATGATTTGTCTGTGCCTTCAAAACTGTTAAATATTACTGTTAAAGAGTAAATCTGTTTTATGATGTGACATCATTATGGTTGTTAATGAATTAATGAATTAAGATTTCATCAGGTTTAAGCACAAAGATAATTTGTCTAGGTTTAAGGATCTAACCTGACTGCCATCTGGGAAGCCTAGCAAGATGGATAATTGCGTCATTTCGTGATCTCTTGAGTCCAGCTGCCTCGCAAAGTTAGGAAAGATCATGGTGTGGATTAAAATGATTATCGCACAGATCCAGTTTTAGTTTGGATCTGATTCCAATACCTTATACTGACATGCCAATACTGATACAATTAAATTGGTAGTATTGTATGAGGGGCCGTCAGGGACA